TCCGTCTTTTAAGATATATTTAATCGATGTATACACCACAGCTTGTTCAAACATAAATTAATATTAAAAAACACTTGAGATTAAGAGTTTAAATTGAAATTATTATAAAAAATTTAACTCAGTTATAATAATATCAATAACACTACTAACTTTAGTTAATCAATTGAAAGACCTAATAAAAGTATTATTATATATTAATATATTTGTATGATTTGCTTATCTGTTTGGAATACATAATCAAATAACTATGGTTAAAAATTTAAGTACTCATATAAACGGTTTAAATTGTTGTACTCTCAGTCCCGGCCAATTGCAAGTACATTTTAAGTGTCTAGGTACACTATAAAATCAACGATTGCCTTGATGAATAAGATTAAGAAAATAAATGTGTTTCAAACATGTAAACTTGCAACGTAGCAAATCTGCGTTCAATAGAACCAATTTCGTGATGTGGACTTTAATAGTCGACAAAACGAATGCATTATCTATTTTAAATGGAAAAAACATTAATTTTGTTAATATGATGGGTTCTTTTCGATATTTTTTATTTCTATGCTTAATTTCTATGTCTTATGAGTACTTAAAATATTACAAAAATCATCTGACAAACGGCTGGAAAATTAAATGATCTTATCACAAGAATCAGTGCATAATCTTACGCGTGATAATAGCTAGCTCAAAACTAGTTGTATTCAACGGTACATTTGCTGTGTAGTACGTTTGTAAACAGGGTTTAAAGTGAAGAGAAAGAGCCAGGGGGAGACTCTATTCCAAATATCATTCTCAGCGTTCCATTTAGTTCTATACAATTACTAGGTAATTAATTATAAATTTATATATATAATGAGATGTTATTAGTTAAAAATTTCCTCCGCAAACTATTCGTATGATTTAAAAACGTATAGACTTGTAAATTACTTACTTATTGTTTGAAAAAACAGATTATGTTCGTGTTGCAAAAAAAAAAAAAGGAAACATTCTATTGCTGTCTTCGTCATGATGATTTTTGTGCGATGCGTAGCGGTGCGTTGCGTTGCGGCCGTTGTCGACGACGACGATATGTCTTCACGTACGATCGTGATCGTATTGTTATCATTGCGCGTAAATGTGTTCATTATTCCATGTTTTCAAGTTTTTCCGGTTATGTCTTACGTAATTTCCAAGTCGTGCTCTCGGTGTCACAAAATTTTCATAAGTTCGATCGTTTTCATATTATCATGGTGACCTGAGGCATTTTATCTTCAAACGGCGTCCGATGGCCGTAGCTTTCGTGGTGAATGCCGTCGGCACCATCGTTTATCTCATCTTGTCCGTCTTCGTAGGTATACAGCCATCTTGTTAAAACCATGTTTTCAGTTTTTGTGTCCTTATCGGTCGGTCGGTAAGTGTCGTTCTGCGCAATTTCATTGCCTTTAATTTAAGGTTACCATGTTCCAGAGTAGTCATTTGACGACGTATTGCGAATAAAGTGGTTTTTATTCATGTGTCATCGTCCTGCGCTGCAGAACTGTCTCTCGTCGTTTGTGAATGTTGTTCTGAGGACGCATGTATGCAAGGGCTGTAATATTTTTGTATCAGTTGTTGTATTAATCACATCCCCGGTGCAGTCGTGTGGGATGAAATCCGCCATCGAACACAGTCACATATGAGTATTGATCGACCGTATTCGTTTCGTTGTCGTGTAGAGGTGGACGGTCCTAGACGTCGTAGGCATATTATTATTATTATGCATAGTGAATCCGTTGAAGGGAGTTTAATACTATATATATATTTTTAAATTGTATTGTATTTATTATTTATTGTGCCAAACAGGCAATATTCATACCATTATTGTAATTTACACTCTTGTGTGCTGTGTAGGCCACCTATTATTTAATTATATTAAATTTTATATAGACTATTAATATTACAATTATTTTTTTGATTTTGTAATTTATAGTCCCCGGTGAACAAGCCCATCCTTTAATAATAAGGATACTTGCCGCGCTATCAAATTGTTAATATTATTAAATAAAATTAATTAAATTAAAAATACGTATATATAAGAATACGTTACAACGTAATTTATAATTTACATTTAATGTTAGTTATTTTTGTTATTAGAACACTGTTTAACACTAAATGACTAAATTGCAAAGCTAAATTTTCAACTGTTTTATTTCGTATGATTTAAAAGCGCTGTGAGAGATAGAGGGACTGAGCCCCCTTGCGTTCTTCCCCCCACTTAAGCCCTGTTTGTGAAATGGAGACATAACACGTCCTCGAGCTCTTGTTATATGCCCGAGATCGGTCAGGATGTACGCGTTACTGAAATGATAACGTTCGGCGCAGGTGGTGCAAACGGTGCCGGTGAGGTCGGTGATCACGGACTGGGACACGTACGTGTTCACAGTGTTTGCGGTCACTGCGTTAGCGGTAACAGTAGCCGCGTGTCTGCTGGTGCTTGTTTTCCGGCGGGCGCGCTGGACGCTGGTAACGTTGGACGTGCTATTGGTCTCGTTGGCTGTGGCAACTGCGACGGTTTTGTGTCAGAGGCTGGTCACCATGGAACGGGCCACGAACGGCGTGGCCGCGGACGGATACGTCGATCTGAAGCCCGCGTGTCTCATGCACGTGACGTGCGAGTGGTGCGTCACCGCTCTGGCGGCCACGGCGCTGTTGAAGCTCTCCCGGCCGCGATGGCCGCATTGCGGCCGATATCCGTGGGCCGTGGCCATCGTGGCCGTGGCCGCGATATCGGTCCTTGTTTGCCGACTCGTCACTTTAACGTAATTGCCAGTCGCGGTAACTCAATTGTTCGTGGAACGTATGGAATCCAACGATGAGTTAAATCCACGCCTGTGAATCCATTCGTTGGATTTCGTTTTGTTGCGGCGCGTGATACGAACAACTTTGGAAAACAACGATTTTTTTCATTTTTATTTTCATCAGTTTGTTTGCCATATTATACTTGTATTTATAACATTTATAATTCGTTGTGTTCATATTATACATAACATTCGAAGTGTACTGAACAACTGGTTCGCATCGATACCGAATGATCACCATACAGTATGGAGTAAAAAAGTGTCATGATATTTTGGATTCCTGGCTTAGTGTCCAAAAAACCGTTTCGAGTTTTTCCGGTTCACCAGGTTATGCTTCCTGGCTACAAGTCATTCTTGGCCACAACGTTTACAACATCGTTCGGACTATTGCGAACGTGCAATGCAATCGAACAAAATATCAAATCGCAAATATTTTAGTAAAAACAATCAATGTGGTTGTCTTCAAATAAGATTGTATTCGAATTTCCAGCCTAAGGTTCGTTCGAAAATAAAAATAAATTAATGAAATAAATAATAATATCTAACAACTGAAGCGTTTTTGTCAAAAGTTGGACAGACGCCACACGCCATATGTGTAACGCACCATTCGTTCATTCATTTAATGCACTAATTTAAATCCTTTTTCTCTGTATCAAGTGTGCTGTTGGTATGCGCCATACACTACATATTGGCCACGTGCACGTATAACAATCTGTAAATTACTCATGTAATCAAGGATACGGTACATCATGTATACTATAATAGAGTACGTCATGTTTATATAATGCAAATATTTAGATATATCATTACTTTCGGAATGTTAGAATAAAAACATAGTTCTTGATTAAAATTTATTTATTGATTGTATATCTTTTTTATAAACTCGAATATAGTTTAAGGATCTACATCCAAATCGAACATCATCCAATTAGTAGACCAAAGTTAAATTTGATCATACATAAGGGCTTAAATTATTGAGTACAACCATCAGTATATATCAGTTGATATATCAGACATTTTCAAAGTGAATTGGTTTGATAAAATTATTCAAAAAAGTTATGTTAAAAGGTAAAAATAAGTAAAGAATGCTAAGACATACAACTGCAATTCATTATCCAATACGCATTTTTTTCAGGTTATTTGTATTATTTTTATCTTTTACAAATTAGTAACTAAACTGTAGTTTTATTTTTAATACCTATGAATGAAATTTCGATGTTTGACCTAGAGTTTTAAAAAATACAACACCAAGTAAAATTAAAAACATGGGAAATATACATATTATAATTATTGTATTAACAAAAAATCTAATTTTGAGGGAACATGCTAACGATACTTACTATCAAAAGTATTCTCCAAGTAGGCTTATGATGAGTCCCATGTGAATTAAAACGAAATATTGATAGTATTTTAAAATTATTAGTCGATAAATATTATATCATTTTTTCCGTGAATGTTGAATTAATATGTGCTACATTATGCAGAATGATAAATCTGACAGTTTTTTTTCCTCTTAGTTATTCAATTATTTTGACCTATTAAAATGTATCATCGCTAATATTGGTTATTGTTTTGGTAAAAGTGTATTAGTTACTAACAACGCGTATGTGACAGTTTTAAGTGTAGGTAAATACATCTGTGTTTAAATTGATTTAATTTATCTTTTGTTATACTATTAGTGGTAATTTATAATTCAATATTAACAAAGTAAAATATTGTTTGGGAACATTTTCTTGTTTAGAATATCCCAATATATGTATTGCATAATATATTGTATGAGTCATTTTCCAAACAAAACAAAAGGATGCAAAAAAAAAAAAAAAATAGAAATAAAATAAAACATAACAAGTTCAATGATTTACAATGAATAGTATTGACCACAGCTATTGAAACATTTACCGTTAATATACTTGGGAAATGTTTTTCTTCTTCTAAAACCTAACTATTTATTACTTGCTCGAAAAAAAAAAAAATGTGAACTGGAAAGCATAAGAATCTGTTAAAATTGACATTTTATTATTCTCGTATGGAATAATTTTTATTTCCATATACTATAAATGATACTGCGAAAATATCTAAAGAAATAGTATGTTATGTAGCCACCAAATAAAATATTAAAAAATAGGATATTGTATTTCTATTTTTACTGCACTGTTAATATTCAAGTTGTAAACGCTAAAATAAACAAATCCATTCGTAACCGACCAAGAGTTTATTTCATGACGATACACATTTCTAAACAATCTTAAAAGTTAAATCATGAAATACTATTTTTGAACCAATTCTTCTTACCGTTAGTGGTAAGTCTTAAATAAATATAGATACAATTTTACACAGTACAATAACTAATACATGTACATCCTATGTACATTACATAACTATAAAATGACAACGTAATAAAATAATTATAAAGCAGATAAAGATTTAAAAAAATTTAAAATATTAATCGTAATACTTTTTCAAGTTGAACACCAATTGATTACAACAATTATCCTCTATAGGATTTTACTAAAGTAAAAATATTAAATTAGGTACTATAATATATTTAGTAGGTCACACGTTAATTACGTTTTCAATTTTTTTGCTTTCATTTTCCAGCGATTTTTGAGCTGTCAAGTATAGGTTTTGATTACATTTTTCGCTGTTAGTCTTCAATTTCTCTTGCATTTGGATGAGTACGTCTTGCATACGGCGAATCTTAATTTTAAGTAAAAATATTTCAAGTCAAATATTATTTATTTTACAATTGGCATTAAATTGTGAACGAAGGTACTATATATTTTATAAATAATAATTTTGTAGGATTTGTTTGTAAATATAAATACGTATTTTCATATTACCTCAATCAAAAAATTTCTAAACAAAATTCGAACATTTGGTTTTATAAGATTTTTCTATTACAAAAATTAGTTTTATATAATATTTTTAATTCACTAATCCATTGCTTAATATCTCGGTTTAGCGAAATTTTTTTCTCTCTAAATAAGTTGAAAATCTACGCGGTCTACCCTCGATTTGTATGGAAATAACGTTAAGAGAGTAAATAGCATATATTATGCAGTCCACCCGACCCCAATGGGGGAATACCACGGATAAAAACATACTGACAATATTTAACATTATAGTAGATGTTGTTTTATAAAAATGATTTCATATTTCATCAATTGTGACTCATAAAATTAATATTTACATTTTTCCTTTTTCAGCAAAACTATGTTTTGCTACTTTTAAAGACTTTTAAAAGTATATTTAATTTTAGTTTCTGAGTAAATCAATTAAAATCATTATTAGTTAACATTTTTTTTTAATATTTTTAAAACCAAAAGTTTCAAATACAGTTTATACTGAAAGTAAAGCGATGTTAAAAAATTACAAATTAATTTCAAAAACATTTTAAAAAATAGCTTTTTTATTTTGTTTGTGAGATGCTAATATTGCAAAATAGTTAGGAATTCCACTTACTTCTTCTTCTTTTTGTATCAATAAAATATCAGTTTCATCAAGCGCGGGTGGCAGTTTTGGTATGGAATCTCTTTTTAATTTCCTACACAAACTAATTATTCATCAACTATATTCAAATAATAATAAAGCAAAGAAAGTGAATACATTTTTCTAAATACCCACCCTCTATCTTTAAGCGCCTGTTGTGATATTTTTGAAATCAGTTGTGTGCGGAAATTTTCATAATGCACGTCCTCAGTAACTTCTTTTAAATCGTGCATATGTGTAGATATTAGCATGTTTCGGAGTTTAGTGAAATCGCTATGAGCTGGATTATCCACTGAAAGTATGAAATATATACTCATGGATTATTCTTAATTATAGTTGCTTGCATATTTTAAATAAATATTTGCGTTCACTGTATTTAACATTCGAAAAACCAACTAAATTGTTTGTTTATAATACTTAGTCTATACCTTCTACTAAACCCCAATCGTACTGCCTTCCTCTTATTTTTTTTCCGTTAACTTCTAGAATTGTATTACTCCCAACAACAGCAAAAGGTAAACATGATTTCAGTTCTTTATCTTGCTGTTTGAAATCTTCATCCTCATCACTGTCGCAATCGGGTAATTGATATACCTTAAAATGTGATTGTATTTAAAAAAAATGATATGTCAGGTACTAAAAACACTGAATTATATAACTACTTTTAAGTTAGAAAAAATCTGTTATCGGCATTATTTGTTTTAAAAATGTGTCAGTTGTAATAGTGATGGACCACTTATGGTAATTATTAATTATACTAATTATTGTTCGTTAATCGTGGATGACGAACATTTAAGATAAATTTAATTGAAATATTTGATCGAAATTTTGAATCAAATAGTTAAATTATGATAATAATTAAAAAAAAATAAAATATTTGTTCTTTTTATTTCTACAAATGTTATAAGTTCTACATAATAGATAGGGATCATGTATATTATACCATACGATTAAAAATGAGTGTCAAAATAGTTATCTTAAATTAGATACACATTTTTAATCGTTTTTTTTTATACACTTTCGTAAATGTTAGAAGTGATAAATTTATAGAAAATAGAATATTTTAAATCCTAAATTGAACAATATTTATATTCTCCGATTAAAATTTATACTTTGTACTTGAAATTTATTTGACCCAAATAATTAATAATTTTTCAACTCACCTTAATTCCGTGCTCTTTGATAGAATCATTTATTCGTTTTTTAACTCGTGATTTTTCTCTTTCTGTTAACATATCTGCTTTGCTTATGACTGGTATAACGTTGACTTTCTCGTGAATGTTTAGCATGAACTCAATATCTATGGGTCTTAAGCTATAAAAATATACATTAGATTACTCATATCACGCCAATAAAACAAACTCTTATAGTATACTTGTGACAGTGTCCAGGTATAAAGTATAGACAACAGTGTACACGATTGTCGACAATATTCTTTCTAATAACGCCGCTTTCTTCTGCGAAATATGCTCGAAATTGTTCGTCCACATATTCACAGCATGATCTAATACAATCCTCGCTGCTTAACGATGATCCAAAACCTGAATCAAAATATTTTCACCATTATTTTTTATTTGTTTTTAAAAATATAATCAGAAATTTGATAAAATTATATTTACCAGGCGTGTCTACTACGGTCAGCCGTAACTTAACGCCTTGTTCTTCGATGCATAATGTTTTTTTTTCGACCTTAGCAGTTTGGGGAGGTTCTGAAATGATAATAATATTATCTTTAATATCTTTAATAGTAATGTTATATTAACCACATAATTTAAGAGATTTGATGCACCCACGAACATAAAAACGTATTACTAAAAGATATCAACTATGTTAAAACAATAACTACTGATGAAATTACGAGATGATTGAATTTAACTCCTAAGAATTATTAAAACATTTCCAAAAAAAGCATACCGTAATTTGATTCTTTTCGGTCTTTGTATAAATCACTAAGAAATAAAGTGTTTATCAATGTGGATTTTCCTAATCCAGACTCTCCTACTACCATCAAAGTGAATTCAAATCCTTTTTTGACAGTTTTTCGATGTACAATATCTGGTAGGCTACCAAACCCTATATACTCTTGTATAACAAACATAAAAAAAATATTAACAATTTATATCTACAATCGAACGTAATCACATAATTTTAATTAATTAACTAATATTATAATGTCACACATTTAACTAATTAAAACAGTGTAACAAACCTGACATCGTTCCGATAGTTAAATGTTTTTACATCATGCAGAAGTTCAAAATATTAATGCTACGATTACAATTAACACAAGACCCTTGAGTGTAATGTAATATGTTCTCAGGTTCGCCTATTATTATCAACAAATATTCTAAAAAAAAATAAAACTGATATTTTAGTCATTCCGCATAGTAATACATATTAAAATGTTACGAAAACAAACTGGAATATAATTTATATTCTTTACTTTATATGATATAATAGTTCAATACAAAAACAATTGTACTCAACAGTGTATTGTTTACATTTGTGTCGAACTGTCGTTAATCCGTAAACAATTATTTGTACTTAAAATTGAAAATGGTCGAACATTTAATGTAAATGCACCAAACGAATAGAAATGTACGCACGATTTAAATTATATTAAAAGGGCAAAGAGAATAAAACGTTTTCTGACAAGTTTTCTGAACAGTTCGATATGAACGGATACAGAATGTTTAACATCGACACACCGTGCGACGAAGAAATTAACATCAATCTAATCGGGTTCATTTTTACGACTAAAAAAAAATTACAGACATACTTGCTGAGAATACGTGTGTCGTGCCGCATCAACAGACCGTAAACAGTTCGGCGTTTTATTTTCGAACAACGGCCCACATTATTGAGTAGACCTGGTGCGTAAGCGTCCGCGTTGTCACTAACGTTACTCGCAAATCGATAATTCGGCGCAGCCGTTCCGCGGGAGATCGCGTTCGCGCGCGCTCGTCACTCGGTAGGGGAAAAAATAGTATTGTACAGCGTGCGCGCGTGCACGCGCGCGTACACGCGTTGTGAATGAAACATGGGGTGCTCGTGGTGAGGGTGCTGGTCCGCACCGTTTTATGCGCGTATAGTTACTACAATGTACGCCACTGTACGGGCAATTTTTATCGCCACCGGGTTTCGACAAGGGGTTTCGACGGTGGACACTATTGGGGGGGGGGGGGCTGCGTAATCATCGAAATGACGTCATACGAAAGAAAAAAGATTATCATGACCTCGATCCTGCACCCGTATGTGCACTGTAATTCGCAGTACGATCGGTGCATCGAAAATATTATAATCTGTAATGTGGTGCCGCAATACGTTATAATTAAGAGTCTCTATTTCACGTGTATTTAAGAACACATTCCGTACGTGTTTTTATAGAAACGGTGCTAAAGTGCGTGTTATTAAAACACACGTGTACACGTGTATTTAGAGTCCATGTACTCGAGTGTTAAAAGTCCGTACGTTATGATCAGCGTTGGATACAAGGATGGGTAACAGGAGCACGTGCCCCATGTGCCCCTCCCACATTGTTGTTTACATAAAGTAAACACAAATTTAATTTTAATTTTTAAAAAAGAAACTTTTTTAATAATAAATAAATAACTATTCATTTGAGTTTTATTTATACGACTGTATTATAATATATTTTACAGTAAAAATGCTATAAAAATAACTTATAAATACGACCAAACCGATTCTTTTAATAAGTCTTAAATTAGATTCATACATAATAATATGAATAATAAATTTCGTATTTTCTAATAATTATAAATATATATATATATATATATTTATCAAATTCATGACCAGAAACAATTCTTTATCAATGACAAAATATAAAAAAGTACCTATAATTAGTTTTTTACATTTTGAATATTTACACATTATATTTACAATATAATACACGGGTATATGAACTTTTAATACACGTGTAACACGAACTTTGAACACACGTGTAATTAAATACACGGGTATTCCTACATATTATTATTTAATGTTCGGACTACGTGTATACTTGTATACACGTACCAAATCGAGAGCCCTAGTTTTGATAACTAATTGTAACGAATAACTTGACCTACAAAGGCCATGCGATGCGTCGAACTACGAATGGAAACGGCGTTGTTTCCCGTTTAAAATGAATTCGATATAACAATATTGTCTCCAGGTTTCTGATTCCGAATGATGTTCGACGTACTACGTGCGTACTATCGCACTTGTAACATTTTACTCTGTCAGTTCGTTAAATACTTATCGATCAAAGTAGTGTAGTGGTCGGTTCGACGATTTTATTACGAGTTACACATACATATAGGCTTTGAACCACTTGGATTACAAGTATCATAGTTACCAACTCATCGATTTCCGCTGTTTACCTAATAGTATACTGTCGAACTTTAATATTAAATGTTATTTGATTTAGTTTGCCATTTAAAATAACTATGTAGTATTGTTTGCGATGTGGTATACTTTGGACTTTAGGTATACTTGTGATCGGAAGGGAATCGATGTATTTAAAATTACAACTTATATTTTATTAGTCGTTAACCTCAGAATTATCAATAAAAATTAGTAAAAAAGAGAATTACCAACTATTAATTATCTTTTCTTAAAGGCTGTAAAAGAAATTTTATAATTCTTAATTATTTTTCCATGTTAATAACTATCGATAGTCGTTACAATGGTCTGCGATAGGTAGGTAGTTAAAATACTGATTTTGTATTCCAAATATTTGGAGATAAAAATATTTATTTAGCTCCAAAAATAAACCTTTAACCACAATGATTGTATCTGAGTCCATGTACTAATATATTTTTCATTTAGAGAATATTTAAAATACTGATATTATACCATAAAAACTGTTTCATATGATATTGTAAACATTCTTTATGCTACACCGTTGAAATGCTTACGGTAGTGCAATCAAGGGCGGATTCACAGTTAGAAAACTGCTGGTTAGACTATTTCAAGAGGCCACTTATGTGGGTTGACACTGGATTATAAATGTATACCTTGAAACAAAAAACACAGCATGATCGTATAATATGTGTTTTTTAAGTTTATTAATTTGAAAATATAAGACGTCTTCAAGAGGCCAATTTTGTCAACAAATATTAACTGTAGGTCAGCTGACCTCCTGAACACCCCCCCCCTCTAAATCCTCCCCAGAGTGTAATCAATGGTTGGCTGCGTGGACATAAAATCTGTTGTGGTCATAAAAAAAATACTTATTAGAATTTATGAACTGTGATATATACTTATTGAAAGTTTATATAATATAATTTTGATTAAATGTTTAGTTTGAATATAATAATTTAATATAATTGCTACAATTCCTAAAGAGTTTGATAAATAGTTTTTTTTCTTTGTTATTGTTACCAAACAGAAGAGAATCAAAATGTGGGTGTAGTATTTTATGATACTTCGTAATTTAAATATATTTTATTTTTATTTTTGAAAAAGAATTTAAATAGTAGGTACCTCCAATGAGGTACTCATAATAATAACCACACATATACCTTTTTATTTACCGTGTAGGAACTTACACATATCATTTTTCGACAATTTAGGAACTAACATATGGATTTTTTTTTTTTACCAGCTAGGTCTAGTGTACGATCACTTGATTTTGAGCATAACCTACAGATATCAAACACACTAAATAATTGTAATTAATTATTTAATTACGGGGTTCATATATGTTGTCAATGATTTAATATTGACTTTTAAATTTAATTATTATGTTATCAAGTACAGAGCGAATGTTTGATGAAAAAAAGAGCTTGTGGTGAATAAGTTAATAAGTATGAAGTTTCTTATACTTTTCTTGGTATAAAGGAGAATGTAAATAATTTACTAGAAAATTAATCATAACGAAACTAAAAATAAGAATATTTTTGGTATCTTTAACTCTTGTCTTTCTTGTTTAAAGTGTTAAAAGTTGTTACATCTGGGTGAAAAATTTCTGGAGGCGTCCTGAAACATAAAATATTATTATTGGCTCATAAAAAGTTTTACAATATTCTAAGTACCTTATGTATATGTTTTTTTTAAATATTAAAAATTAAACTGATTTACATAATTTCTATTATATCTATATTTCTAAAGAAATAATGATGTTTTAAGTGGTGTTCAAAGAAATAATAATTTTTACAAAATAAATAATAGCATTAATACTACAAGTTATTGGCATAGTTAGTTTTATTGGTAGTCAGCTGATTTTAAATATCTTGATTGAAAACATTTTCGATTTGTTTAAAAAAATAAAAATAAAAGCTGTATGACAATGAATTATTAATTATGAATATTAATATAAATTGTTAGATTGAGAAAATAAAAATGTAATTAAAGGCAAGTACAAAAAATGATGCAGTTTTTTTTTTTATACATTTACCTATAATTTGTAAGAAACTTGTTATTTCTTTAGTAATTTATGATATAGGTCGTGGTAGTCATAACACTAATTAGGTAATAGTTAAAGTCCAACTTTAAGTATTATTTGAAATTACTATTAAAGTAATGAGTAAATATGATATTTTTAATTGATTTTCCTTTTCTGTTCGGTACTATATGTAATGACTATTATAAATTGTGAGATTATTCGTTTTTTACGGATAACTCAAATATCCATACATAAACAATTATTGTTTTTTTTAAAACGTAACAATACATGATGCAATAATCATGCAAAAAGCAAATTAAGTATATTATACATTTATAACCGTTTTTATAACATAATATTTGATTTATTACATTCTGAATAATCGATTTCAATAGACAATACCGTTTTATTCTCGTTAGCACATACATTCATACATATTTAAAATAGCTATAATACAATAGAATTACTCAGTTACGATAACTACTAACTATTTTAAATAAACAATAAATATTTACTCTATTACTCAACAATAACCTGTAAACCAAATGACTTATATACTAACAATTTGCTTATAAAATTTACGAAATTCACCAATATATTTATTTATATTATTCGAATGTCATAATACAGCAAATACATTTTTTTTTCACCAGAATTTTAGAACTTTTTTTTAAATGATCAACTACTCCCGCGTAGACAGTCCGACAGTGCGCAAGTATTTATTCGACGCTCGGTGAATATGTTCGCATCTGTATCACAATCCAATGGAATATGTTCTTACTAGTGTCTTCTGAATTGTTAATACTACTTCCTTAACATTCTTGAGTGTACTAATATTTTATATAATATTTATGTGCTTTATATTAAATATTTTAAATATTTTCACTTTATACAAAGTACGATGCTTACACAAATAGCCTCAAGCACCGTCGCATTCGGTGACTCTTGGACTATTTATAAGTTAGCGTAGAAATGTCATCTAATCAAATCGCAAAAACTGTATCTCAAATTAAAATAGTCAACAATAAAATTGTTAAATCAAGCGATAATATTAATTTATCTAACAAGCGTGCTTTATCTGAATCACCACCACAATCGCCTATAATAACAGATATAAATAAATCAAAGAAAATCGTTACACTAACGTAACCCTTACACCGTTCTCACATCACATGAATTCGAATTTATTGTTCTCGACGATAACGATACTGATGGGTTATCAGACTTGCAAAATCAGGCGCAAACACATACCACTAATGATGTACCAAAGGTTATCCTGCATCTATCTGTACTCGTTAAGGGTGTCCTTGACTTCTTACATTTAAGAAATAGTTCTA